TACGACACATATATATATATATATATATATATATATATATATATATATATATATATATATATATATATATATATATATATATATATATATATATATATATATTTATGGCCGTGCAAGGCGTGAGGGGGAGTAAAATAATAGGGGGGGAATAGGCTGAGATATGAGTAGAGAAGTGAGAGGGGAGGAGAGACTTCGAAAGGTGCATAGGGGAAAGTGCAGGAGGGGGGAGGGAGAGCGGGGGTTGTGGGGGTGCATCAGAAAGAGGGGAAAGTGTGGGAGGCGGGGGGGGGGGGAAGACGTGTGGGAGGGCCATAATTAAATTACATGCATCATTTGGGTGAGTGAAATCGGACATGAGCAGCGGGGTACTACGGACCGACCATCACCACGACATGTATTACTGACAAGTAATCATGTTATGGTCCCCATTCCATCACCCCCCCCTCCCCCTCCCCCACCCCACTCACCTAACTCCTCCCAACTACCTCAACCTTCCACCCCACTCTTCCACTACTATGTACATGGGAAAGGATAAATTGACGGTCAACACACAAGTTACAGCCCCGCTCCTGTGCCAGGTAAGGCTACGGGCTCACCATAGCCCGTGCTACTTGGAACTGGTTCCGAGTAACTGAATCTATAGCAGCAACAAACAACAAATTGACGGTTGTGTAGAGGGGGGGGGTCTGGTTGAGATGGTGGTGGAGGTAGTGGTGTGTACTTGCCTAGTTGTGCTTGTGGGGGTTGAGCTTCGGCTCTCTGGTCCCGCCAATCAACTGGTGTACAGATTCCCGAGCCTACTGGGCTCTATCAAAACTACATTTGAAAATGTGTATGGAGTCTTCCTCGTTGAAAAGCAGAGGTGCAATAGGTACTCTGAGAAAGAACTCTATCAACATCAGAGGCCCGAGACTGTTCAACACGCTTCCACTACACATAATAACTGACCAATCCCTCATAGTGTTCAAGAGTGAACTTGATAAACACCTAAAGGATACCTAATCAACCAGGCTGTGAGATTCATACATCAGGCTGCGAGCAGCCCTGTCCAACAGCCTGGTTGACCAGTCCAGCAACCAGGAGGCCTGGTCGAGCCCCGGGTATGTAACCACCACATCACGTCCTAATACAATCCAAATTTTGTTAACTTTCTTGTGGCTCATTTGGGTACTTGGTTTCCACATGTGTCCTCTTGTTCACGTTCCACTCGTGATAAACAGCTTACCTTTATCTACCCTGTTAATTCCTCTGAGAATTTTATAGGTGATGATCATGTCTCCCCTAACTCTTCTGTCTTCTCGTGACATGAGGCTTAATTCCAATAGTCTTTCCTCGTAGTTTATTCCTCTCGACTCTGGGACTAGTCTCGTGGCATACCCCCTGAACTTCTAACTTTGTTTTATGTTTGACTAGATATGGACTCCACGCTGGAGCCGTATATTCCAGTATTGGTCCGACATATATACAGGGTACTGATTGATTCAATGCACAAGTTTATAAAGGCAGTTCTTATGTTTGCCAGCCTCGCACATGCCGCTGATGATATCATTTTGATGTGCTCACCCATCATAGCAATTCTTTGCTTCCTGTTGTTTGGTCTCTTATTCACTGGAGCACCTTACCTGTTACTCCAGCCTGTTTATCCAACTTATACAACAGCCTCATATGGGGTACTTTCCGACAGTCCAAGAAAATGCAGTCTGCCCACCCTTCTCTTTCTTGCTTAATGCTTGTTGCCCGGTCACAGAATTTGATTAAACCTATGAGGCATGATCTGCCATCCTTGAACCCATCCTTGAACCCATCCTTGAACCCATCCTGGTGATGTGTTGCAAAGTCTCCTTCTCCCTAGATAAGCAACGAGCTTCTTTCTCACGAACTTCTACATCCCACTGGAGAAGTTCTCTTCCCTGGCCTGTAGTTTAGTGCCTCTTGCCTATCACCCTTTTTAGTATATTGGGACTACGTTAGCCGTCTTCAAACTTTCTTGTAGGTCTGTTTCAAGTGGCTTGTTATACACCATAGAGCGTGTCAAGTGCTTCTGCGCCCCTTCTTTACTATCCATGATGAGATTCTGTCAGGTCCAACAGCCTCTGTCACGTCCAGTTCTAGCAGGTACCTCCCAACCTCATCTCTGGCAATTTCAATATCATCCAAGGCTGCTTCGTTTATCTTCGCGTCCCATAGTTCAGAGACTTCTCCTTGCTCTGCGCGTGCGTATGTATGTATATGTGTACTCACCCACCCACCTACCTCTCTCCCCCTCTCCGTGTGTGTGTGTGTGTGTGTGTGTGTGTGTGTGTGTGTGTGTGTGTGTGTGTGTGTGTGTGTAATTGCCTAAGTGTAGTTACAGGATGAGAGCTACGCTCGTGGTGTCCCGTCTTCCCAGTACTCATGAAGGAAAGGTGGGTTGGTGTGGCGGGGGGGGGGGGGTTAATGCAGGTGGGTGCCGGGAGGTGAGGCTGCAGGTGGGCGGGAGAAGGGTGGAGCGGGGGGGGGGGAGGGGTTGTGAGGGCGAGATTCAGGATAACAAGAGAGGCTGAGGAGGAGGAGGGCGGATATGGTTGGGTGGGTGGGTGCTGGTGGGCAGCTGGTGCCGGGAGGTGGGCCAAGTGAGTGCAGGTGGTAGTATAAGGTTCAGAGCGGAGGTGTGGGTAGTGAGTAGCGGAGGTAATAGTGAGTGGGCCAGGGGGGGGGGCGATATACACGTACCGGTACGTGGACAGAGAAGTGGGAGGGGGGAGGGAGAAGTGGGAGGGGGGAGGGGGGAGGGAGAAGTGGGAGGGGGGAGGGAGAAGTGGGAGGGGGGAGGGAGAAGTGGGAGGGGGGAGGGAGAAGTGGGAGGGGGGAGGGAGAAGTGGGAGGGGGGGGGAGGGAGAAGTGGGAGGGGGGAGGGAGAAGTGGGAGGGGGGGGAGGGAGAAGTGGGAGGGGGGGGGGAGGGAGAAGTGGGAGGGGGGGAGGGAGAAGTGGGAGGGGGGAGGGGAGAGAAGTGGGAGGAGGGGAGGGAGAAGTGGGAGGGGGGAGGGAGGGAGTGGGAGGGGGGAGGGAGAAGTGGGAGGGGGGGAGGGAGAAGTGGGAGGGGAGGGAGAAGTGGGAAGGGAGGAAGCGGCCATGGGGACCAAGAAGGAGAGGAGACCCCCCCCCCTTCACCACATAGAATTATAAGGAAAGGGGATGTAGGTGCAAAGAGGCAGAAGTACGTGTAAGGAAAAGCAGCATGAGAAATGCCACGAAATATGTGGAAGGGAAATAAGTATGATAAAAGTGGAAACGAGTAAGTTAAAAAAATATCAGAAACAGGAGAGGAATATGATTAAGGGTGAGGAGAGGGGGAGGAAGAGAGAAGCAGGTGGATGAGCATGAGGAGGGAGTATGAGGAAGGAGGAGGAGGAGGAGAGGAATGCCAGGGAGGTCGTTGACTTGATTAACTTTAATAGGATAATGACCCTCCCTTATTTTGTCATCACACGAAGAATACGAGGACCGGTCGACCCACCACCACCTCCCCTTACTCACCACACGACCGGTTACACCACCATCCTCGCCCTCCGGACCTCCCCGATCAGAATTCTTGGCGCAATTCTTTTATCTTTCGAGCCGTGGCGACGCTCGACCCCAGACCCGGGATAGAGCGCCTTGCTCAATTACCCTCCGACAGCGGGAAATCGAGTTAATTGACTTATTAAAGTAAGACTTCCGGTGAGCTCTGGGATCCGGCCACACCTTTGCACCACAGAGGTTTCCCCCCCCCCTTCTTTTCTGACGACTGCCGCTATATTCCCCGAAATCCAGAAACCTTAAATTGCACGCTAACCTCACCTACGTTCCGATGGCACTCCGGCCTCAAACCACCCCCGCCAAAACCACTCCAATGGCCCTTAGGGGCAAGTGCCGCTAGGGCCACGATGGCCTGGCACAGCCATAAATTCGGACTATTACCCACACTCATGCAACCTGAAATGAAGGTGGATCTCACACAGTCGTAACCCACTCGGAGCGCCAGAGAAAAATCCAGCCTTGTTTGGCTTTGCACGAAGGCTTACTGTTGCCTGCAGCGGTCCAGGTGGCGCTATCATACGTCTTGGCCCCTGTTAACCTGGCATGCACATGGTGTGTCATACGATTAAGCCAAGGACAAAATGGTTAACTAGATGAAGTGGATAAAAGTTAGCTCTGAAGATGAAAAGAAGAGGGATGAAACTCCCCCCCTCTACACCGCCCCTTCCAAGGGGGGTCCAGAGGGGTAGAAAGGAGCCGCCATGACGACCTGTTGTCCCCCCGCGCCCAGGACGAGGGGATATGGGGAGAGAGAGAGGGGGTTGAGGGAGGGGAAGACCACCCTTCACCACCACCATCTTGCGTGGTGAGGGGCTGAGGTGCACCCCGTCTACTGCTGCTGTAAGACGTGAAGCACCGCCGCCAGGAGGCTCCAGACGAGGAGAGGAGGGAGGAGGGCAAGGGAGAGAAGACAGGAAATACTAAGAAAACTAATGGAGATGGAAATATTACTGAAAGAAGAGTGAACCGCGAGATAGAAGATGAAAATAATGTAGCAAAAAACACGAAGGGAAACACGCGCGCGCACACTCACCACTCTCACTCACTCTCACCACCACTCACTCACTCACTCACTCACTCACTCACTCACTCACTCACTCACTCACTCACTCACTCACTCACTCACTCTCACTCACTCACACTCACTCACTCACTCACTCTCTCACTCCGCTCACTCTCTCACTCTCTCACTCTCTCACTCTCTCACTCTCTCACTCTCTCACTCTCTCACTCTCTCACTCTCTCACTCTCTCACTCTCTCACTCTCTCACTCTCTCTCTCTCTCTCTCTCTCACACACACACTCACACCTCTCTCTCTCTCTCTCTCTCTCTCTCTCTCTCTCTCTCTCTCTCTCTTCTCTCTCACACACACACACCTTCCCAGAGACGACAACCAGGTCCACCTTCCCCAGAGACGACAACCAAGTCCACCTTCCCCAGACCTTCCCCAGAGACGACAACCAGGTCCACCTTCCCCAGAGACGACAACCAGGTCCACCTTCCCAGAGACGACAACCAGGTCCACCTTCCCCAGAGACGACAACCAAGAGACGACAACCAGGTCCACCTTCCCCAGAGACGACAACCAGGTCCACCTTCCCCAGAGACGACAACCAAGTCCACCTTCCCCAGAGACGACAACCAGGTCCACCTTCCCCAGAGACGACAACCAAGTCCACCTTCCCCAGAGACGACAACCAGGTCCACCTTCCCCAGAGACGACAACCAAGTCCACCTTCCCCAGAGACGACACCCAGGTCCACCTTCCCCAGAGACGACAACCAGGTCCACCTTCCCCAGAGACGACAACCAAGTCCACCTTCCCCAGAGACGACAACCAGGTCCACCTTCCCAGAGACGACAACCAGGTCCACCTTCCCCAGAGACGACAACCAGGTCCACCTTCCCCAGAGACGACAACCAAGTCCACCTTCCCCAGAGACGACAACCAGGTCCACCTTCCCCAGAGACGACACCAGGTCCACCTTCCCCAGAGACGACAACCAGGTCCCTTCCCCAGAGACCTTTTCCCAGAGACGACAACCAGGTCCACCTTCCCCAGAGACGACAACCAAGTCCACCTTCCCCAGAGACGACAACCAGGTCCACCTTCCCCAGAGACGACAACCCAGGTCCACCTTCCCCAGAGACGACAGAGACCAGGTCCACCTTCCCCAGAGACGACAACCAAGTCCACCTTCCCCAGAGACGACACCCAGGTCCACCTTCCCCAGAGACGACACCCAGGTCCACCTTCCCCAGAGACGACAACCAGGTCCACCTTCCCCGACAACCAGGTCCACCTCCCCAGAGACGACAACCAAGTCCACCTTCCCCAGAGACGACAACCAGGTCCACCTTCCCCAGAGACGACAACCAGGTCCACCTTCCCCAGAGACGACAACCAGGTCCACCTTCCCCAGAGACGACAACCAGGTCCACCTTCCCCAGAGACGACAACCAGGTCCACCTTCCCCAGAGACGACAACCAGGTCCACCTTCCCCAGAGACGACAACCAGGTCCACCTTCCCCAGAGTCCACCAGGTTCCCCAGAGACGACAACCAGGTCCAGGACGACAACCAGGTCCACCTTCCCCAGAGACGACAACCAGGTCCACCTTCCCCAGAGACGACACCCAGGTCCACCTTCCCCAGAGACGACACCCAGGTCCACCTTCCCCAGAGACGACAACCAGGTCCACCTTCCCCAGAGACGACAACCAGGTCCACCTTCCCCAGAGACGACAACCAGGTCCACCTTCCCCAGAGACGACGACAACCAGGTCCACCTTCCCCAGAGACGACAAACCAGGTCCACCTTCCCCAGAGACGACACCCAGGTCCACAGAGACGACAACCAGGTCCACCTTCCCCAGAGAGACGACAGAGACGACAACCAAGTCCACCTTCCCCAGAGACGACACCCAGGTCCACCTTCCCCAGAGACGACAACCAAGTCCACCTTCCCCAGAGACGACAACCAGGTCCACCTTCCCCAGAGACGACAACCAGGTCCACCTTCCCCAGAGACGACACCCAGGTCCACCTTCCCCAGAGACGACAACCACCTTCCCCAGAGACGACAACCAGGTCCACCTTCCCCAGAGAGACGACAACCAGGTCCACCTCCACCTTCCCAGAGACGACAACCAAGTCCACCTTCCCCAGAGACGACAACCAGGTCCACCTCCCCCAGAGACGACAACCAGGTCCACCTTCCCCAGAGACGACAACCAGGTCCACCTTCCCCAGAGACGACAACCAGGTCCACCTTCCCCAGAGACGACAACCAGGTCCACCTTCCGCTTCGTACAAAACTCCCTCGGTCGAGGAAGGGCAACAGTACCCACTGCTGGAGCAATAAGAGTCATCTCCAGTGGATAGAGTTGCTCTCAAGATACAGCACAAACTCTCAAGAGCCAATCACCCCACTGGAGCTCCTCGTGACGACAGTGTTCCACCGGAGCTCCACGTGGAGCATTGTTCTGTTCACCAGGATCAGCAAACAGTTTCCACAGGACTACGATTCAATCACATTAAACAAATGTTCAGCCGTGTACTCGGGGCCGACGTATATAGGACCTCCTGTCTCGGAATTACTGTTATTCATGAACGCAGACTGGCAACATACCCACTGCCATTAGGCCCGGCTTTTTTCCCCATTTTGGTGCATCTATCTGTGCCTTCAGATAGAGAAGCAAAGCGGAATCAGACCAGTAACTGTAGCAATTCCCTTCGGCTGCTGCTAAAACAGTCAGGCCGGAAGCGGCCGACATGTTGAAACTAAAACAGCTCGGGGTTTGGCATTCCCAAAGTTGTGAGGCGGAAGCCCATTCAACTCGAGCATTCATGGCCAACATCGCAGACGAAAACACCCTGATCAAACTGGATTTCAAAAATGCCTTCAACTTGGTTAGAACAGCGGCGGTGCTCCGTGCGTCAATTCCTTCCTTCTCTACTGTTTTGTTCATTCGACTTTTAATAGGAAATGAAAGCTGTTAACTGGTGAACATGAAATTGACTACCGGATTGCCGCGTGGCCTGTGCCAGCAGGTGCCGCGTGCCCTGTGCCAGCAGGTGCCGCGTGCCCTGTGCCAGCAGGTGCCGCGTGCCCTGTGCCAGCAGGTGCCGCGTGCCCTGTGCCAGCAGGTGCCGCGTGCCCTGTGCCAGCAGGTGCCGCGTGCCCTGTGCCAGCAGGTGCCGCGTGCCCTGTGCCAGCAGGTGCCGCGTGCCCTGTGCCAGCAGGGCCGCGTGCCCTGTGCCAGCAGGTGCCGCGTGCCCTGTGCCAGCAGGTGCCGCGTGCCCTGTGCCAGCAGGTGCCGCGTGCCCTGTGCCAGCAGGTGCCGCGTGCCCTGTGCCAGCAGGTGCCGCGTGCCCTGTGCCAGCAGGTGCCGCGTGCCCTGTGCCAGCAGGTGCCGCGTGCCCTGTGCCAGCAGGTGCCGCGTGCCCTGTGCCAGCAGGTGCCGCGTGTCCTGTGCAGCAGGTGCCGCGTGCCCTGTGCCAGCAGGTGCCGCGTGCCCTGTGCCAGCAGGTGCCGCGTGCCCTGTGCCAGCAGGTGCCGCGTGCCCTGTGCCAGCAGGTGCCGCGTGCCCTGTGCCAGCAGGTGCCGCGTGCCAGCAGGTGCCGCGTGCCAGCAGGTGCCGCGTGCCAGCAGGTGCCGCGTGCCAGCAGGTGCCCTGTGCCAGCAGGTGCGTCCTCCTCACCCAAACTGTACATTTGACAGTGCTGGGACACGACCCGTGTCTCATTTCCTCCACTACAGCAGGAGCCACTTGTGCTGGTTAGCCTGGCACAACCACTACAGTCACCTGTGGTCCGGTGTTTGGGTACAGCGCTTTGCTCTGAGTGCTGCATACAGCACAGTCGGATTTCAATCACCCCAACTGCGCTCTGTGTGTGTGTGTATATATATTATATATTAATTTGCCTAATAAGCCAAGTTTTCATGAATATATAACCTATATATATATAACCTATATATAATAGGTTATATAGGTATAGGTTCGGTCATATATCTACGTAATTTTATCCATATATATACATATGAAATGGGTATATCATATAAGAAAAAAATATATATAGTATTGGCTTATTATATATAGGCTGAGAAGTGAGTTCTAGCTACTAGGTACGACATATATATATATACATATATATGCGAACACGCCAGAATGGTCCCCTGGACAATATGCAACTGAAAACTCACACCCCAGAACTGACTCGAACCCATACTCCCAGAAGCAACGCAACTGGTATGTACAAGACGCCTTAATCCACTTGACCATCACGACCGGACATAATGAGGTGATAGCCGAGGCTATTTGAACCACCCCACCGCCGGCACTCGGATAGTTATCTTGGGCATAGCATTTTACCAAATCACCTCATTCTTAGGGGCACACGTGAGGAACACAAATGCGAACAAGCCAGAATGGTCCCCTGGACAATATGCAACTGAAAACTCACACCCCAGAAGTGACTCGAACCCATACTCCCAGAAGCAACGCAACTGGTATGTACAAGACGCCTTAATCCACTTGACCATCACGACCGGACATAATGAGGTGATAGCCGAGGCTATTTGAACCACCCCACCGCCGGCACTCGGATAGTTATCTTGGGCATAGCATTTTACCAAATCACCTCATTCTTAGGGGCACACGTGAGGAACACAAATGCGAACAAGCCAGAATGGTCCCCTGGACAATATGCAACTGAAAACTCACACCCCAGAAGTGACTCGAACCCATACTCCCAGAAGCAACGCAACTGGTATGTACAAGACGCCTTAATCCACTTGACCATCACGACCGGACATAATGAGGTGATAGCCGAGGCTATATAGCCGAGGAGTATGGGTTCGAGTCACTTCTGGGGTGTGAGTTTTCAGTTGCATATTGTCCAGGGGACCATTCTGGCTTGTTCGCATTTGTGTTCCTCACGTGTGCCCCTAAGAATGAGGTGATTTGGTAAAATGCTATGCCCAAGATAACTATCCGAGTGCCGGCGGTGGGGTGGTTCAAATAGCCTCGGCTATCACCTCATTATGTCCGGTCGTGATGGTCAAGTGGATTAAGGCGTCTTGTACATACCAGTTGCGTTGCTTCTGGGAGTATGGGTTCGAGTCACTTCTGGGGTGTGAGTTTTCAGTTGCATATTGTCCAGGGGACCATTCTGGCTTGTTCGCATTTGTGTTCCTCACGTGTGCCCCTAAGAATGAGGTGATTTGGTAAAATGCTATGCCCAAGATAACTATCCGAGTGCCGGCGGTGGGGTGGTTCAAATAGCCTCGGCTATCACCTCATTATGTCCGGTCGTGATGGTCAAGTGGATTAAGGCGTCTTGTACATACCAGTTGCGTTGCTTCTGGGAGTATGGGTTCGAGTCACTTCTGGGGTGTGAGTTTTCAGTTGCATATTGTCCAGGGGACCATTCTGGCTTGTTCGCATTTGTGTTCCTCACGTGTGCCCCTAAGAATGAGGTGATTTGGTAAAATGCTATGCCCAAGATAACTATCCGAGTGCCGGCGGTGGGGTGGTTCAAATAGCCTCGGCTATCACCTCATTATGTCCGGTCGTGATGGTCAAGTGGATTAAGGCGTCTTGTACATACCAGTTGCGTTGCTTCTGGGAGTATGGGTTCGAGTCACTTCTGGGGTGTGAGTTTTCAGTTATATATATATATATATATATATATATATATATATTATATATATATATATATATATATATATATATATAATATAGCATTGCAAAACTATGACATTGTCACCTACACCATACATTTCCCCACTCCCTCCTAGGTTCATGACAGGCAAAAATAAAATAAAAATAAGAACCGAGAGCGAGAAAATAATAGGTCAGTGAAAATGAGAAAGAATAGTGGTGGACGAGAGAAAGAGAAGAGGGAGAAGAGGCGGTAAAGGAAGCGTGTGGGAGTGCCCCGGGGATGAAAATGATAGAGAGAGGAGATGGAGGTAAGAGTGGCAGGGGGAGAGGGGGAGAGAGGGGAGAGGGGGAGAGAGTGGGGAGAGGGGAGCACACAGGCTTACCTGGGCTTAGGGTTGCTTGGCCGGCTTTGCGCGTGTTTGCCTGGTTCACCGCGGCCACAGCCTGTTTGTCGTGGCATTCAGGTAATCCCCTCGCCAAACACCGCCTACACCCCCCTCCCCCTAGTCTCCCCTCATCTCTTAACCCCTCTCCTCTTCCCCCTCCCCCTCTATCCCTACCCCTTTCCACAACCACCGACATTCACCTCCACACGGAGCTCTGTTCCCATGAGCGGCGGGCCATCCACGTATACCTGTTGAAAAGACTTTCATTACTATCTTCTCATCTTCCATACATTATCTTTACCACGCTCTCTGTGTCATGTCTTGCAGCTCTCATCTCTCCCCCACTCGGCCTCCCACGCGGGATCACCGCCTCCTCTCGTGTCAAGTCATAAAGAGAGGGACTGCTGGCATGGAAGAGATCACAGCAGGTTGTCAAGGGGACCTGCTGCTGCTGCTGCTGCTGCTGCAGGGCCAGCGGCTACACCCCAATACACCTCACTCTTATTAATGGTACTCTCCTCTTTTCACATATATATTATATATATATTGAATATTTATATATAGCACAGGTGCTAGTTCTTGACACACTGCTGATAGGTGCCACCATGTCCCACAGGTGCCACCATGTCCCACAGGGGCCACCATGTCCCACAGGTGCCACCATGTCCCACAGGTGCCACCATGTCCCACAGGGGCCACCATGTCCCACAGGGGCCACCATGTCCCACAGGGGCCACCATGTCCCACAGGGGCCACCATGTCCCACAGGGGCCACCATGTCCCACAGGGGCCACCATGTCCCACAGGGGCCACCATGTCCCACAGGGGCCACCATGTCCCACAGGGGCCACCATGTCCCACAGGTGCCACCATGTCCCACAGGTGCCACCATGTCCCACAGGTGCCACCATGTCCCACAGGTGCCACCATGTCCCACAGGGGCCACCATGTCCCACAGGGGCCACCATGTCCCACAGGGGCCACCATGTCCCACAGGGGCCACCATGTCCCACAGGTGCCACCATGTCCCACAGGTGCCACCATGTCCCACAGGTGCCACCATGTCCCACAGGTGCCACCATGTCCCATAGGTGCCAGCAGTCAAAACAACGACTCAATTCATAAACATACTGGAGGTTATACTCGACACCTACACCAAGAAGCAGTAAGCAAAGGTGGAGAAGCATAATAGTGTCAGTTTACAGGAGATATTGTCACAGAAGAGGTGTTCACTCCCGCCACAGGAGAACACACCAATATGATGTTCTTGACGATAACCTGACGCCTTGTTCTCTGGTTACTGCTTCCCCAGGATGGTTTCAAGTTTGTCACAATAGCTCTAATATACTGCCTGAATACTTGCAAGATGTGTGTATTTGCAATGTGAGTGAGAGAGAGAGAGCGAGAGAGGGAGAGGGAGGGAGGGAAGGAAAGGAGGGAAAGGGAGGGAAGGGGGAAATCCCTCACATTCCTCTCATTACCAAGCAGCCTCACCACACTCACTCCCAATTTAAAACTACCATGATAACCTGTCACTCCGCCATCTTGCTTTCCAAGCCTCGCCCCCAACCCATAATCTACCTCTCCCAG